CTATATAGGGATGGCAATTGCATCAGTGGTCGTCGTGGAAAATACCTTCAAAACAGCCTTTTCCTTGTCTATCAATCAAGTTTCTGTCCAAACCGGACCATCTTTTTTCTATGCGTTCCTAGGGGTGAATCTCTTGACTAATCTCATGTTGACGGGCTTCTTAGGTCAGTCTATTGGAGTTTGGAGAAAGGACATGCTCTCAGATTCAATTAATTAGCCGGAAGGATTTGGTGGTTTTCTCGTTCCACTCGAAAGTACTTTGGATACGATTCATCGAATAACAGGAGGATGACTAATATTGCTTCAATGGTGTTCGTCTTGTCGTCTCTCAATTGTCCTTGAAATAGCTTACCTACGCCCCTTCCTGAACTGCCCTAATGTTTAGCCTCGAATCTGGCTTGCTATATCCTCTTGCCCTGGTTCTCTGTATAATCGCTCTAGCGAGTGTTCCTTTCACTGATGGTATTTCCCCATCCGTGGAGCCATTACTGACTGTTATTGTGGTGCGAACATTCTATCTATGAAATGCAATGGACTTACATACAACTAATTCAACTCAGGGAATTGCCCCCACAATGATCATGGTTAGGGTCGATTTAGGAGCAAGCATTGAAACACCTTCCAGTGCCGACCCTGATAATGACTGCAAAAGTCTGTATTTGGAACAACATCCGGGGTCACATACACGCTTTCACCCTCAGGATTTGGAACTACCTCGGCCTTTCCCGCTTCCGGGTCCTCGGTTTCTTAGAGGTCCAGAAAAAACTGGGAAAATCCTATCCAATCATTCATACTGAGCTCTGCATCGAAGGCTCACACCTCAGAAGTATCCGACTACAGGCAGGAAGAGTAAATAACTCCGAACGAGACAACAGATAGTATATGCAATGGAATCTCTCGATGATGGTTGAAAGGATTTCCCTATGACATCTCGTACTACTCAGATATTTATAATTTATTGACAAGTTTCCCTGTCGGCCACTGTGACTGCTTTGGCCTTTTTGTTCGTACCTTGATAATCAGGCGTTCAAAATCAACAGCTTTGACCTAACACGTGTCAAGGTATCAAGTGATCGTGAGAATGGTGAGATCGGTTAGACGCCGGTTGGTCGGATGCTTTTTTCGTTTCCCTACCGTCTAACGGTATTCCCTGCTCGCGTCGACCGAGCAACTATTCTTTTCTTTCAGCTCTAGACTTGGACTTGACCTTGAAGAAGCAATGTCGCGCATTCCTGCACCTTCGTCGTCGACTAATCGTAGCAGAACCCCGGTGGCAGCCGCAAGTCCAACCAAACCACGCGTTGGAACGACTCTGTCTCCTGCGCCAACCTCTCGTATACGCACTAAATCTTCCGTTGGACCTGGTACTGGATCTTCCTCCAGCACAGGATCATCGACGCTCTCTCCAGCAGCCATACGAACTCGAACAAAATCATCCGTAGGACGTACAAGTCCATCGAAACAACCTTCTTCATCCAAAATAACTAAAGATGACAGTGAACCACCCATCCCAGCTCTCAGTATAAAGGAAGCGATTGCTTTAAAGCGCGCAGAAGCAAAGAAGGCCCAGGCGACGCAATCGCCGGTCGGGGGTGGTTTTGAGTCATTGGAAGATGCTATTCCACCTCAGAGAAGTAGGAATGGAGGGGAGCTGCTGGCAGAAGATGACTCCTTAGGCCGCTGGTCAACTCGAGAGTCTATAGAGCGGGGGAGAAGTTCTGGTAAGTATGTGAGATTTCAATCATCGATGATAACCAATCAGCCAGTGTAGGACTCGTAAATATCTCTGCACGAGACCTCCCTTGCATTCCTTCAGCTCTATTCGAAATTCATCTGGGAATAACGCCTGATGCACTGAAAAGTGTTCCGAATGAACCACAGTTACCGCCGTCCGATTCAAACACAACCGGACCAGTTCGACGAAGACGAAATGAAGACAATCCATCCTGGTATGAAGCCCAGGATCTGACTGCTCTCAAAGCTTGGAGCAACAATATTGTGGAAATTCAACATGAGATTTCCTTGTTTGGTAGCTTGAAGGTCGTCGATGTGAATAATGTCTTGTCCCTTCATTATCCTGTAGCCAAACTCATTTCGTTTTCAGCTCCATAAAAACTCCATCTCTTCCCTTCCAAAAACGTTTGGAGATTTGACAAACCTTACGACACTCGATCTATCTCACAACAAACTAACGGAGCTACCTATCAACATATGGACGTTTCCAGAACTGACGGTGCTCAACTTATCACATAACCAGCTCACCCAGCTTGCATTCTCCGCGCCTTTTTCATCATCTTCTACGACCAAGAAACAGCAGAACGGTCTGAGTAGTAGCAGCTTCTTTGGTCCTACCTTAACCCGTTCCTCCGTCCCACTACCTCGTCTCACCGTCCTCAATGCGTCGAACAATCATATTACATCTTCTTCCATTGACCTAGACGGAATACCCCGGGCAGTGATCAGGCTCGATATGTCCTTCAATCCGCTTAGTTCGACATCAAGCCCAGATACCGCTGCGCTAATTCGTCGACTCGGCGAGTTGACGAATCTGAAGGAGCTAAAAATGGAAGGAGCGGATATCGGTGATGAATCGTTTACACCGGATACTTCGCCCAAAACGAATGCAAAACAGTCCTTCCCCCGTCTCACGTTCTTTGACCTCTCCGAAACTCGCGTCACTCCCGAGGGCATTCAAGACGCTCTCCAACCTTCCGAATCTGAATCGCCTTCGGCTCCCAAGCCACTCCTGTACCCGCCTCGCGACGTCTCGATTTCCTCTGCCGTCGCGTCGTCAGATTCTTCACCTACATCTGAAGGCGCACTTCGCGTTCTGGTGGGAAAGAAGGTAATTCGAGAAGCATGGGAGATTGAGGCGGACTTACGGGCAAAGAAGAACTTTAAACAGAGAGCGGAAAGAATGGGATTTGATTTTGAGGAAGGGGAAGAAAAAGAGAATGCTGGATCTTCATCGAGCGGGGGTACTAATACGAATCGTAACACGGGTACGAAGACGAATGATAACGTACCCTCAACTTCCGGTTCTAGCGGAAAAGAAGTGCAGAAAGAATCATGGGAGATTGAAGCTGAACAGGGACTGCTCACGGAGGGAGGTCGACGACGTGCGAGAGCTGCTGCTGGTGTCACCGCTGCAAATCCATCTTCTGGATTGAGCACCAGGGCTGGTGCGGGTAACAGGTCAACTGAGCAAACGAAAGAGGTGTTAAAAGAGGCATGGGAGATCGAAGCTGAGCAGGGATTGTTGACGGAGGGTGGCAAACGCAGGGCTAGGGCACAAGCGGCTTTAGCAGCAGCTTCACCATCTGCTAGTAAAGGAGGAGAGGGGAAGGCTGCGACTTCGTCGTCGTCTTCAGGAGGAATGACGAGTTTGAGCTTGGCTAATTCGGAATATTATACTCGCGGCACGCAGACCTTGGCCTTACCTCCCTCAGCTCCTCCATCTACCAAGTCCGGAGGGCCCGGACACGCTCGAGCGTTCTCATCTGCGTTCTCCGCTTCTGCCTCTTCCCCTTCGTCTTCCTCCATATCAGAACTCGCAGTCCCGATCCCCTCTGTTCCTCTATACGAGATTCTCTTGATTCCCCCTTCCCCTGCTACGTCCACTCCATTCGCTCATACCCTCCGCGTCATGTCATTCAAGAACCGCCGAGCAGATCGCTCATTTACACTACCTGTCCCTCCCTCGTATAGTCTCGAGGAGGGATTGTTGCCGAACCTGGAAGAGCTGGATCTGGAGGGATGTAATTTCAACGACTCTGTTCCCGTATCTAGGATCGACGCTTCTTCGTCGTCGCCTGGTGGGAACAGTGGGACAAGGACACCAACACGGTCGAACGAACCCCTCCTTGCCTTGATATCCTCTCTCTTCCCTAACCTCATCACTCTCAATTTATCATACAACCTCCTCACGAGCGATTCGCTCAAAGCGGGACAAGGGGAAGGAAAACAGAGCGTCCTTTCGAAGCTCCTATTTGCGCCGGCGAAAGACAACACGACGGCTCACAACAAGAAGGGGTTAAAACACCTTCTGTTGAAAGGGAACAGATTGTCGAATTTGGATGCTTTTACAGAAATTGGAAATTTGAACTCGAAGGATAGGGATAGTAGGTTTACACTGGATGAATTGGATGTGAGAGATAACGAGATTGGGTCCCTACCTCCGTCGTTGGGGACGTTGCCGTTAGAGGTGTTGCTTGTGGATGGGAATGTGTGAGTAATTTTTGATGATGTATCTCGTATGTGCTGACGGAAGTGTTGCAGCTTCCGCGTTCCGCCGCGACGCATTTGGGAACGGGAGGGAACGAAGGGGCTGTTGGCGTGGTTGAGGGGAAGGATGGAGTAGGAACTATCATAGCGGGAGGAAGCAGAGGGGGTGGGGAACGAAGGGAAAAGAAATATTGTCTGTAGATTGGAAGCGTTTCGTTACATTCAATGCATTCGGTCATCATCTCATCCACAGTGACATTACTCGTCCTGATCACCGATATCTGACTTTCTTCTTCCGGGTTTGCGACCCGGCAAAACTTTGTGCCGCTCGATGAGCTCGTCCAGGAAATTTATTTGCGATAACACCTCAAGGGTGTGATCAATTCATTCGAACTCTACCTGCGAAAGATCGGGGATACGATTCTCACGGGAGGGGGCCTCCCTGTATAAGGAAGGAGCCCAGACCGCTCCAACCATACGGCATAACCGGCAGCTGCGTACAGCGTAGCTTCCAGTTGCCAACCACCGTACTGCTACGCCCGACACTTTTGGGAATATCTAATATACATAGCAGTTTCGACTTGTCTCTGACTAGTAGGATCTGGATACAAATTTTGTGCAATAATCAATTCCTTGCACAACTAGTGTCGTGTAAGCCGGAGTGCCAAAAGGTCCGGCTTTGCGGCTCCATCATGGAATGTCGTCCCGACCTGAATCTTGAACGTCTCTTGTTGCGAAAGGTAAACATGATTAAGTCAGTTTCCTATGAAAAGTATGCATTAATGGGGTAGTGGTAACCTGGGTCGTTGCCATGAGTATCTTTTCTCGACCCGCCGGGGGTTCGATTCCCCCTTAATGCATTGGATATTTCTCTTCACATTTTTGTACCGCTTTCTTCTTTCCTCCCTCTTTCCCCAGAGAAACTGTACTTATATTGAAGTTTTAGCATATGCCAACGTTGTAAAGTGTCGACAGTACTCAATACCCTTAGAATACCCTTTTAGTAAGCAATTTTTCATTTTTCTTTGATCTCGATCAATAAATAATTACACCAAGTCTGCATGTATGATAAGCAGTTCCAAGCCAGGCCTGAGCGATTACAATGATACAAGCTTCAGGATCTTCTGCCTATCGCAATCGGCCAAACAATCTCGGACTGTGACAAGACCCTCGTCACCGTAGGTATGTGCAGGTATCCCTACTTCCAATTTCTCAAGTTGCGAAAAGCTTCCTCTTTTCACAACCTCGTCCACTCGCGACCAAATTCTATCTTTGGGACAGGCGACCTGCGTGGAATACTGACTTTGAAGGGGCCAAGGTATCGCATGAATTGTAACATGCTCCAGTTGTGCAGAGTCATGTACCGTAGCAAGTGCATCACAAATTGCCTCAACATCATGAACACGGGCATGGAAGGAACGGAGATGCACAAGTGGTGATAGGTCAATGTGGCCATAATTGGGACCTGTGGTGTCAAAAATCAAACTGGAGTGTAGTATGAAGAATCAACGATACCAGCCGTCAGGGGAATCTTCCCGGTCATGCACCTCATTCCGATACTCGATATTGATACCGAAATGGTCCAAAGTGTCACAGCTGGCTGCTAGAAGCAGGTTGATCTGGTTGACAGACCCGACGCCTCTGTGATAGCAGCGATACAGAGTAATGTGCAAGGTGCGCAGCCTCGGCGACCAGCCAATAGGGACTAATGAACCAAACCAGTCCAAGGTTGCATCTGTACTGAGACAAAGGGAATCTAGTCTATCTAGATTCGAAAAAGCAATTTCGGTTGGTACTAACACGCTTTCCCTTTCAGCGTTCGGAGACGGGGTAAGGGATAAGCTGCGGAGAGTTTGGAAATAGGTAGGAAGGCGGAGCATCTCGCCATCCAGAAAGAAATACGGAGAGACCGCCAATTCAATAAGGTTTGGAAAGGCATCTGCTAGCCACATTAACGAAGAGGGTTTCTCCCAAGGGCGTGTATGGGTCTTCATGGATAAGTTGATAAGAGGGGCGCCCGATATTGCACGGAGGATATCTTCGAACCACGGCTGCTGAGCATTGAGAGAGAGCGTGTTGATGTATGGCACGATGGTGTTATGAGGAGAGAGTACTAGGTCAAGAAAAGACGCCCCATTTTGAGCGGTTGGACGATGGTGGGTAATGGCTTGTTTAAGTTGTAAACATCTAAAAAGATGGTACCTTGTCGTTGGCATCCAAGCCCTGCAGACTAAACTGCAGCAAAATAAAGCCGCTTTATCGTCGTATAGAAAACCGATGATAACATCGGCAAGCTCCTGTGGTATATGATCAGGTTTAGAAGAGGCGGAAACGAACATTCTGATCGAGGTGAAGGAGAGAAACGGGCTCAGTATATATAGATCAATATGAAACTTGATACACGCGGTCACTTGACATTTGCTACTTTGGCTATGCAAACTTGCTGATACATTCGAGGTTTTTTTGGACTCTGATTCAAGTATAACTAAGCTGTTCGTTGCTTGATTGCACTTGCCCGCGCTACCCGGCCGGTTGCATCAGATGTGATGGCTGGGAAAATGCACAAAAATACGCAGAAAGTACGTGTATTTGTATCCAAAAGTTGGAGCAATGTGAATGCAACATCGAACTCTGCGAGATTGTAACTGTTCTGTCGAAGGTTACTCGAGCACAAATCTTTCATTTTCGAGAGTGACGAATTGCCGGTACATTTCCTGTATTTTCTTGTATTTTGGGGGTACATCAGGTGGTGTACCTAGTCGCGGATATTGCAGGTCAACATTGCCAACAGTCGGTGCCCTCTAACAATTCTCAAACCCTAATTGACTGCCGGTTACTCGAGGCCCTGCTGCTAGTAATGCAACGCTACCGCGCACCAGTTACTCATGCCCTGTGCCCTCCTGTGGACTGAAACGTTGCCTCCCAAGATCTAGAGCACGATCCACATCAGAGACTGAGCATTTCACACATGGAAAGACCCCGCCTTTTTTTTCTGGTTTTTCCTATACCAATTGGCAATGCCATACACACCGTTTTATTCAAAGCTCGTTGCTCCGGAATATCAGGTGTTATATGTATATGATTCAGAGCCACCACCTAACATTAGATGAGAGTGCGGTGAAAATGAAGTGGAGCTTGTCACATCATGCACTGGCATCTGAATTACATCTGAATTCAAGTGGGTATCTTTCATTGTATGCAATGCTCCGTCTCCAGTCTGGATTGTTGCCACCTTGCAGCTGGGTTCAATGAAATTGAATCAAGTTGAAGCACAGCTATAGGCTGTGACTTGATGTGAGTTATGTCACCGGCAGAGGCCCCAGTGTGATGGCCGCATTGCACCTGTCAAATTACTTTCCGAATATTTCTGGCAACCGGGTTACCAAGTAGAATCATCCCAGTGGGCTCAAGCTCCAAGTTGTTTGAGAAGTACTCTGGCATCTTTCACCTGTGACTACACCCATTTGAAAGAGAGTTTATAACATTTCATGAAGCTTAGAATTCACTGATCTCGTGATCTGGCACTATCCTATCATCTATGATCCAAGGAGCTCAATTATCCAGGTGCAAATCCCGAGTTGCTCCCGAAATCTTCGTACAATCAACTCAAGTCTGAATTACTCATAGCATTGCCCTTTTCCTGACAGTCTGTCTGCGGTATCTGAAAATGCCGATTAGTTAAGTAACATGAAGAAACTCAATTGTATTAGTCTGTACAATTTTGAGTCTCTCAAAACAGATCCGAGATGACATATAGATCTTGTTCACACTGACACTGATTAAACTTCGAATGCAAAGCATAGCTCCAGAGTTGCCGCATTCTTCCTAAACAGTAGCAGATGATTTCCAGCTCGGAAACAAGGGAGTATTGCCTCTAGCTGGAGCCTATATAAGTCACGCAGGAAATGGGGGGAAATTTCATCTGCCTGGTGCATATCACAACTCACGACTTTCGCTGGTGAGTTCTCGTTACGATAGTTGAAGGAAATCCCTTAGAGCCGCTTCATTTACCCTTGTCCATCTAGGTCGAAACGCCTGCTTCTATCCATCCATTATTTTAATGCACTGCAAGATGCTCAGGCTTCACTATTTTCTTTGCCTTTGTTTCATCACACTAATTGTCATATCTTCTTTGGGCCCCTGCAATGCATTGCCTGCCGCTCATACCACTTCAAAAGTCAAGAGTCCTTCGAAATTGGGGAAACCAGTCAACTCTCCCAAATCCAGTGTACAACCTTCTAAACCAAATACTTCATCATCTCTGCCCAAATTGGCTACAACTACTCCTTCTTCCTCTAAGAGCAAATCATCCCCTTCCAAAACAGGCATTCCCTCCAGCACAACGCCACCAAAGAGCAAACAGTCTTTCCAGGTGCACATTTTGCCCTCCATTTTGACTTACTTTGAAACTTGAAACTGATCTAGAATACTCAGCAATGTTCTGAGTCAAAAAAGACAGTACCTCGGTCTTTGTTTGGACGGACAAACTACAGCCCAGTACCTGCTACAGGATCTATCACGCTGTATCATGGCACTCCTTCGATGAAGGCCGCATTGTTGAAGGCCAATGGTCCATTGCTCTCAAAGACTGCGAAGCAGGGAGATTTTTCGCGTAACTGTGAGGTCTACACAGTTCTGAATCTTCCTGAGCCTCAGGTCTGACTCTATTCTCAGATGGATTCTATCTCACCGACAGAATGCGAGCAGCAGGACAGTTTGTTTGTAATCCGGCGGATGTGGTCCCTGGACTAGAACCCAAATCTGTGACTATATTTGGTGCACAGCATTTTTTTGCTACATTTTATCCTCTCAGGTTTCTAACTTAGAGTTATCCATTCAGAATACTCGTGGGCTGGCATTTCCGCGTAAGCAGTGTTCCAAGATCTTGATTCCGGTATACATAATATGACTATCTTTGGGTAAACGTAGCAACAAGATTCATGCGTTCACTGGTGAAACTGATGACTGGCGAGAAGTACGAGGCAATCAACCATGATTTCTAATTGTTCCTAACCACCAAATGTTATGTTTAGTTTTGTTGCGCTAATCTTGCGGTCGATGACACTCCAGACGTTCAGAAAGTGATTAACAACATTGCTGAAGGAAAAGTAATGATTACAGGGTGCGCTGTCATTAAAGTCTCATTTAACTTATTATACTAATACAGTTTTGCTGTTAGCCCTATGCGCATGGCCGGAGGTATTCACTGCCAGATATGATTGAACTTGTCTGTTACTGACAGCAATATTCCCTTAGCGGATGACAAGTTGACCCCAGACTTTTGGCAGTACACTGTGACTGACCAGAATACTCTCAGCAAGAACCTCAAACTTGTTGCAGAACATTCCAATATCCCTTGTACTGAATTTCCTGCCGGCCAGTTCACTGATCCTGCTGACAGCCAAGGACCGAGTGCAGACTTCTCCTCGGCAGTGAAGACTGCATTGCAGATCAAGTAGGGAGCTGACATTGGACTCGTTGAAAGCGGAGCCTATACAGCGCTAGGACCATGCAGTGCAATGACTTTATTAGTATCAGTAGCCACATTATGTCACAAAGCCGGCGTGAAAATAAAACCCCATCCCACTCCACAAAACGCCTTTTGAAAAAACCTCGGGAACATTCTGTGAAAAAGATCGCCTTTTTCCGGCAAGAGAATCAACAATCGCGACGCAAATTTTTTTTAACGAAGAGAATCCTTTTTCATCAGATTTTCCTTTGAAAAAGGTTACCTTTTTCGGGAGAGAAACAACTCGGGCGATGTTTTGGCGGTAAATTGGGATGTCGCCCGTTTTGTTTCTCCACTGAAAAAAAAAAAGATTTCACCCGAAAATGTACATTTTTTGCATTCAGACATTTT